TAAATTTATTGGGGTGACATTGGTTAATAAAATTACATAGGTTTCAAGTGTACAATTCTATAATACATCATTGTGTACCCACTACCCAAGGTCAAGCCATCTTCCATCACCATATATTTGACCCCCTTTACCCTTTACTACCTCCACAACCCTTTCCCTCTGGTAATCACCATATTATTGTCTGTACCTATAAGTTTTTGTTTGTCTCATTTGTTCATTTGTGCTTTCAGTTTTATATTCCGCATATGAAATCATGGTTCTTCACTTTTTTTGGACTTAATTTCGCTTAGCATGCTATACTCTTAAGAACCATCCATGTTGTCACGAATGGCAGTATTTCATCTTTTCTTATGGCTGAGTAGTATTCCATTATATATATGGAACACATCTTTATCCAATTGTCTATCAAAATGTCCAGAACTTTTTAAAATTTGATTGGTTGATTTTAGAGAGAGAGGAATTGGAAAGAGAGATTTGTTGTTTCACTTATTTATGCATTCCTTGATTGATTCTTGTATGTGCTCTGATCAGGGATTGAACCTGCAACCTTGGTGAATTGGGATGATGCTCTAACCAACTGAGCAACCCAGCCAGGGCTGTCCAGAACTGTTTTGTTTTGTTTTTTAATCTTTTTAACTTATTTATTTATTTATTTAATATATATTTTTATTGATTTCAGAGGAAGGGAGAGGGAGAGAGAGATAGAAACATCAATGATGAGAGAGTATCATTGATCAGCTGCCTCCTGCACGCTTCCCACTGGGGATCGAGCCCGCAACCCGGGCATGTGCCTTTGACCGGAATTGAACCCAGGACCCTTCAGTCTGCAGGCTGAGGCTCTATCCACTGAGCCAAACCAACTAGGACCAGAACTTTTTTTTATCTTGTAAAGCTAAAACTCTATACCCATTAAATAACAACTCCCCTCCCCGCTCCCCACAGACCTGGCAACCACCATTCTACTTCCTGTCTCTATGATTTTGACCACTCTATATATCTCATATAAGTGGAATCACACTGTACGTGACTGGCTTATTTCACTTAGCATAATGTTCTCAAGGTTCATCCATGTTGTAGAATGTGTCAGAATTTTCTTCCTTTTAAAGACTGAATATAAAATAAAAAGAAAATAAAATCAGTGTTAAGGCTGAATAATATTTCATTGTATGGAGATATCACATTTTGCTTATCCATGCATCCATTGATAGACACATTTAGCTATTGCTAACATGAGTATGCTCTTTGAGACTCTGCTTTCAATTCTTTTGAATATATACCCAGAAGTGGAATTGCTGGATCATATAATAGCTCTATTTTTAAGAATATACATATTTTCTTATTGACTTCAGAGAGGAAGGGAGAGAATGAGATAAAAACATCAATGAGAATGTCAATCAGCTGCCTCCTGCACGCCCACACTGGGGATCGAGCCTACAACCCGGGCATGTGCCCTGACCAGGAATTGAACTGTGACCTCCTGGTTCATAGGTCAATGCTCAACCACTGAGCCTCGCTGGCCAGGCTGATAGCTCCATTTTTAACTTTTTGAGGTATCACCATACTGTTTTTCACAGCAGCTGCACCATTTTATGTTGCCACCAACAGTGCACAGGGTTCCATTTCTCCACATCCTCTCCAACACTTATTTTCTGTTTGTTGTTGCTGTTGTTTTAGTTGCCATCCTTATGAAGGTGAGGTGGTATCTCATCAAAATTTTGATTTGCATTTCCCCCAATGATCATTGACATTGAACATCTTTTCATATGCTTATTGGCCATTTGTACTACTTTGTTGGGAAATGTCCATTGAAGTCCTTGGCCTACTTTTTTCAAATAGTTTACATTCATTATTATTTTGTATTAGTTTCAGGAAAACAGCATAGTAGTTAGACAATCACATCCTATATAATAAAAGCATAATATGCCAGTCGACCGAATGGCAGATGAAGGGTGCAACAACTGGTCACTATGACATGCACTGACCACTAGGGAGCAGATGCTCAATGCAGAAGCTGCCCCTTGGTGGTCAGTGCACTCCCACAGGGGGAGCGCCCCTCAGCCAGAAGCTGGGCTCACGGCTGGCGAGTTCAGCAGCGGTGGTGGGAGCCTCTCCAACCTCCGTGGAGCAGCGAGCAGGAGGGCAGTAAGGAGTGAGGGGTCCCGGACTGCCAGAGGGTGCAGGCCAGGCTGAGCCCCCCCCCCCCCCCCCGCCCCAGTTTATAAATTTTGTGGACCGGGCCTCAAGTACTTTACAAAAAAGTGTTCTCCCAATGTTTCCAGTACCCAACTGGCACCATACATAGTTATTATAATATCATTGACTCTATTCCCTATTCAGGCCATTCTGGGCTGAACATTGGATCCTCCTTGTTCTTTTCTGTCCACTCTCTGGATAAGGAGATTGTCAATGATCCAGAACAGGATAGAGGCACAAAAGGGAGGGAGCTTGTGTCCCTACATGATCACATGGACGGCCACCAGACTGGCAACACTGATAGTAGGGAAGGGCCCTATGCTGATTTCACAGCCCCATGACAATTTTTAACAACCAATTTGTACTTCTTAATCTCACCTTTTTCTCCCAATCCTTTACCCCCCGCCCCTTTCTCTCTGGTAACCTTCAGTCTGTCCTCTGCATCTACGAGTCTTGTTTCTTTGCCCATTTTTAATTGGGCTGTTAGAGGAGTTTGGGTTTTATTACAAATGATGTAGGGAATCATTGGAGAATGTTAAGCAGGGAAGTAATGTGACCTAATTTGGGTTTGTTTTGTTTTATTATTTGGTCACTTGGACTGTTGGGTGAAGGGTGTTTTGAAGGAGAAGCGATTATAGATGGAGAGACTAGAGGCAGGCTGTAAATGGAAAAAGAACAGGACCTAGAAGGCGGACGCAGATGGAGAGAAAGGCTTGTTTGGATTCTTTGGAAAACACGGCAGCATGAACAGGACACTAGTGGCATCAGAGACCCACCAGCTACTCATCCCACCCGTTCCTCCTCCGGGATGTGGAGCTGGGTACATTCCCAGGCTCCCTTGAGACTAGAGTTGTGGTCATTTCACCAAGTTCTAGCCAAAAGTAGTGGACCTTCAAAAGTCCAGGCCATTCTGGGCTGAATATTGGATCCTACTTGTTCTTTCCTGTCCACTCTCTGGATGAGGAGATTGTCAATGACCCAGAACAGGATAGAGGCACATAAGGGAGGGAGCCTGGGTCCCTACATGATCACATGGACGGCCACCAGACTGGCAACACTGATAGTAGGGAAGGGCACATAGCTGGTTTGGCACAGTGGATGGAGCATCAGCCTGCGGTCTGAAGGGGCTGGGTTCGATTCCAGTCAAGGGCATATGCCCAGGTTGCAGCCTCAATCCCCAGTAGGGGGTGTGCAGGAGGCAGCCCGTCAATGATTCTCTCTCATCATTGATGTTTCTATCGCTCTCTCCCTCTCCCTCTCTGAAATCAATAAAAATATATTTTAAAAAAGTAGAGACACAGTTTAATCATTATTCACCTTACTAATAATAGATAAGTTTTCTTATAGACCCTGGGAAACGAGAGGATGAAACAAGGATAAGATGTCTTGATGGGCCCATTACTCAGAAAAGAAATACATTGAGAACAGATCAAGGACAAGATGTGCTTTGATTTGGTCGCTGTGCCCGGACCCTGACGTTTGCCTCAGGAATGCTAACCACTCTCCAGTCCCAGGAACAGGCTGAGCTGTTTGTAACAACATCATAGATTAGCCACCTTGTTATCGGACTTTGAGCTCCTGAAGGCTGGACTGCAGGCCCTACGCTCTCCGTTCCATGTTACACTTGCAGCTCGAAGCTACGTGTAGTTATCTTCTCCCTCATTCGTATATAAACAGCCAACTGATGAGAGGGGTCAGAGCAGAATTTCCAGGGTGACCAACTGCTCTCCCCATACTGCCAGCAATATTGATTTATTTTTTCATTTTTTTATTTTCTTGCCAGCAGTATTGAAATAAACACTCATAAATGATTCAACTCTGTCTCCTGCTTAATTTGGCTCAAGTAGTGACAGGCAGCCTTGGAACCATTGTGTCCAGTTTCAACACTGCTCTGAGCTGTGGCATGACTGAGAAATACACTTTTACTCTGTTGAGCCACTACAACTGTGGGTCCATCTGTCTGAGGAGCTAGTTAACTTGAGACACTGGTGAAATAAATTTTTTTGTATGGTATACATAACTACAGCTGTAAAACTAAGGAAGCAGCTCTTTGTTATTCATATGGAATGATCTCCAAGATAGCGTTAAATGAAAAAAAGCAAAGTACAGGGGAATGTGTATCATCTGTTTTATGTGTAAAAAAATAGGTGGGAAAAATAATGTAAACATAATTCCTTGTTCATGCACAACAGTGGAGGGATAAAAGAAACCAGTCATACTGGTTACTTCCATCCAGGGGAACTGAGGGCCAGGGGAGGGGTAGGAGACCTATCGATATGTACCTGCGGAATTTTGAATAATGTGAATGTGTTTCCTAACTTAAAATTTTGGTTTTAATTAGGAAATGAAAAGGAGTATGCCAGAGACGTGGGCATGTTCAGATATTGGTGGAAGGAGCCAGTACAAACAAAAATCCCCAAAGTACAGGGAGACAGAGGATAGAGGAAAGCCCTGAAGAGCAGGGGAGAGGTAAGCACAGGGCAGGGACATGCCAAGCGCAGGAAGAAGGTACCTTAGGACAGGAAGGGAGGAGGCTGGAGGTGTGCAACCCCAGGTAAGCGTATAAATGCGAACAGGAAGGGAGGGTGAAAGGGTTCTTCTCAAACAGCGTTTATTTAGAAGGTGAAGAGAGGAGGAGTGGTAAATTTAACTTGTAGGGGAGAATAAGGGATCACATGGACAAGGGAACAAGGGAAATGGAAGCCTTTCAGGGAGCAGTGTGGGCCAGGCCAGGACAGGAGCCATGTATTTAGAATCAGAGCCCTCATAGCACCAGTCCCTCCCTCCCCACCCCTCACCCGCCTCCCTCACCCCCATCTTTCTCTTTGCTCAGTGGGGCTGATCCAGCTGAGCTTCTTCATGCTCCTTAGTGGTTCCAGGACCACTGCTGGGAGGCTGTCATCAGACATGATCTGTCGCTCCTTCCCAGGACAGCAGGGTTTCTCTGGCCTTCTCAGAACCTGGCAGGATGAAAGGGGGATCTCACCCCTGGAAATCAACCCTGTGGCTCCTGCGAAGCCAAGAGAACTCACCCTGACTGGCAGAATCAAATAAATTCAGCCCTTGAAGTAAATCATTCAGAAATACAAATGCCAGATGATTTCAGTAATGTGGAATCTAGAAAATGAAATTAGCAAGCAGAACAGAAACAGACTCATATACATTTTGACAGTTGCCAGAGGAGAGGGGTTTCAGGGAATGGGTGAAAAAGGTGAAGGGATTAAGAAGTTTAAATTTAAGCCCTAATCGGTTTGGATCAGTGGATAGAGTGTTGGCCTGCAGACTGAAGGGTCCCAGGTTTGATTCCGGGCAAGGGCATGTACCTTGGTTGCGGGCACATCCCCAGTAGGGGGTGTGCAAGAGGCAGCTGATAGATGCTTCTAACTCGATCCCTCTCCCTTCCTCTCTGTAAAAAATCAATAAAATATGTATTTTTTAAAGGTTAAATTTAAAAAATAATAAATAGTATAAATTGGTAGCTACAGAATAGTCAGAGATTGAAAGTATAGCACAGGGTCCTGGTCGGTGTGGCTCAGTTGGTTGGAGTGTTATCCCGTGCACTGAAAGGTGGTGGGTTCAATCTCTGGTCTGGGCGTGTGTGGGAGGCAACCAATTGATGTTTCTTTCTCTCTCTCCTTTCCTTTCTCTAAATATTAATTTTTTAAAAATCTTTGAAGTACAGCATAGGGAATGTAGCCAATAATATTGTAATAAATACGTATGGTTTCAGATGGATATTAGATTTATTAGGGTGATTACTGTGAGTTATATAAATGTCTAATCACTGGGTTGTACACCTGAAACTAAAATAATGTTGTAATCAACTATAATTGAAAAATAAAAAATTTATTTTAGCCGAAACCAGTTTGGCTCAGTGGATAGAGCGTCGGCCTGCGGACTGAAAGGTTCCAGGTTCGATTCCGGTCAAGGGCATGTACCTTGGTTGCAGGCACATCCCCAGTAGGAGATGTGCAAGAGGCAGCTGATCGATGTTTCTCTCTCATCGATGTTTCTAACTCTCTATCTCTCTCCCTTCCTCTCTGTAAAAAATCAATAAAATATATTTTTAAAAAATTTATTTTAGAGAGAAAGAGAAAAACACTGACCTGTTGCTTTACCCATCCATGCATTCACTGGCTGACTCCTGCATGTGCCCGAACCCAGACCAAACCCTGCAACCCTGGTGCATCAGGATGACACTCCAACCAACTGAGCTACCAGGCCAGGGCTAAAAAATTATTGTTTTTTAAATATATTTTATTGATTTTTTACAGAGAGGAAGGGAGAGGGATAAAGAGTTAGAAAATCGATGAGAGAGAAACATCAATCAGCTGCCTCCTGCATACTCCCTACTGGGGATGTGCCCGCAACCAAGGTACATGCCCTCGACCAGAATCGAACCTGGGACCCTTCAGTCCGCAGACCGACGCTCTATCCACTGAGCCAAACCGGTTAGGGCTAAAAAATTATTTTTTATGAAGCAGTTTTGAGTTTACTGATAGGTTTTTTTTTAAAATTAAATTTCTAGAGAGGACAACCCGCAAGCTAGAGATCTACGAGGGGAAACACACAAGATACGTGGTGAGCTTGTTGGTGATAGTGTGAGAGACGTTGAAGTGGCAGCGTTGCAGGGGATCAGACAATACTAGAGAGTA